AGGGAAGGTGTTTGGACTGAAAGGAGCAGAGAAGGAAAAAAACAGGATTGAAGAATTTCTCAGTGCTTCAAGCTCTTCACACGCTGGCTCAATATTACAATATCAAAATTAATAATATTAAATATCCAAATTAGAATGTGCGAAAATCGATCTCGGCAATGAGATTAGGGAAAATGTGTGGCAGGAGATCATATCAAATGTAGGCTGGGCTAAGGGATGCAAGAAGTTTATCCATTATAAAATTGTACAAAGGTATTATTTCACACCTCATAAAATGCACAAAATGGGATTAAAGCAAGATATTAAATGTTGGAAATAAAGAAATTGGCACTTTTTTTTACATGCGATGTGGGAATGTTCTAAGGTGGAGCCTTTCTGGATAGCGGTTCTGATGTATTTAGAAAGGTGGCTCAAACGGCCTTTCCCAGTATCCCCTAGGCTCTGCTTACTAAGAGATAAATCGCTGATGCCACCAGGACTAACAAAAACAAACAGTCATTGAGCTGACGCTTTTATCCAAAAGCGACATTGCATTTTTTAACACATGGCTTTTTACATTTTTGCCCAGGGAGCAATTAGGGGTTAGGTGTCTTGCTCAGGGACACTTGGACATGGGGAAGCTGGGACTCGAACCACCAACCTTGCAGTTCCCAGCGCACCCTCTCTACCCCTGCATATCTATAACCAACATTATCCTTTCCAAGTCGTTGTGCTTTCCCTCCTCACAGGATTTTATGGGGACGGAAAGTCAATGCACAGACGCAAATGGTTGTGGAGGAAGCACATTTTCAACGGGCGGTGCAGAGGATGTGAAAGAAGCAACGCGAAAGACACAAAAAGGCAAAAGGATCAAAGCAAATATATTGCTTTTTTCGCCCCCAGCCTTGCGGTACCATAGTAAATTCGTAGGTGTTATTATTGTATGTATAGAGATATGTGTGATGCTTCTCGCCAGATCTTGCCACAATCCATGTAAAGCTCTTTTTGTTTCCCTCTCGAGGAATGAACCGAGAAAGACAACTTTGACTTCTGAAACTTTTATTATTGTTTTGAGAAAATCTTCCATCGCAGGCGACACGCCCGTGCTGTGACTCTGCCAAACAGTCAGATAAGCACGGCATGTCGAGGGGCCAAACCAAAAGAAGCGGCTGCTTCCAAGCGAAAACAAGCGAGTGTTTGTGTGATGCTGGGAGGATTTTGGCTGAGGAGGGAAACCAAGCCCACCGACAAACACACCACTCACGTCACAATGACCAACCATCCACTGTTCATTGCAGAAGGTAGAAGAGGGCAATGGCCTTTCGTTATTTTAAAAAGATATATAAATGCATCGGGTGGCTACTATTAGAATATTTTGCCCGCCTTTTCCAAGTCTTTCTTTCATAATGATATCATCCAAACCCACGGTTAAATTGTCGACTTCAGAAGGGGGACAACGGCTCACCAACCGACCAAGTTCTGGGAAAGGATGTGGAAAGGGTGAAGGAGGGTGTCTCAATCAACAGCACTCAACTGGAAAAACATCAACATTGTGTTCAAAAAGGTGTATTCTATTTCTTTGTATATGTTGTGCATTTTTTATGTTCTGTTATTTATTTACATTTGTAAATACTATAGCAAAAAAAGGTCCCCATTTGGGATTAATAAAGTATATACATATCCCTTTATCTATTTATCCATCTATCTAGATACACCACATTCATTTTCATAGGTTTAGGATGCTGTATGAGAAAAGCAGACTAGGTTCAATAAAAACCTGACAGGTTTGACAGCTAAATGATCCATACACTCAAGCAGCAGGTGTCTGCAGTATGTGGGATGTCAAGAGCTCTCAGATGTTCTTTTTCAAAATTAAAGACATTATAATATCCTTACTCTTGTGTATTGTAGCCCTACAATATCCAAATATCCCTACAATATAGTGACCTCAGGTCAAATTAACTGGTCCAAATAAAAGAGTGAAGAAGCCCCTCAGAATAAAGAGAGACAATTCCTAAACCTCAAATGAACCCCCCCTAAGAGCATCCATGCAATAGGATTACATTGAATTAGTCCAACTTATTTTGATTTTGATCAAATACTTCTAAAACATTATTTTTATTATTTTACAAAATAATAAACTATAATAATAAATAATTATATAATAATATATAATAAATTATAAATTATAAATCTGATCAGGAAATTAATGAACAAAATAAAAAAATGATCAAGTGCATTGTGTATTTCAATAATTGACAATGTAAATGAATATTAACCTCAAATCCAGATCCAAACCGCATTCCTTACACCTCTGCATGCAGAATCCTATAAAGGAGAACAGGATAATTAGCACACATCCCACTAAACAAATGACAGTAAAAAGCATTGAGCATACAGCCTGTTACTTACTATCATACAGAGGTTGTCCCAACGGCCTTGGTGATGCTGAGCAAACTATAAAAGATGAGATAAATGTATTAGAGAAGGGAAATGCTGGAATACTCCACATGTCACAGTCAATGTTTTAAAAAACTTACAGATGAAACATTTAGAATAGACCATCAATTTACCTTTTTAAGACAATCCTGAAAGACCACGTCAAATACCAAAGATCAAATATCATTTCAAATACATTTTACTACACAATCTTAATAAATATAAAACTGTGTTGACCAGCGAAATATCCTATTTTACAAAGCTCTACCATTAGCGGATTACATCATTAGTGATTCATTATCACATCAGATCGGGTTTATCAAACTACAAAGAAGCCACAACTAACATGTCGACTCAAAAACCAACATTCTGGGCATGCAAGAGAGTGAGGAAACCTTTTTCATTTTAAAGATCTAAATATAGATTTATAGAAAGAAAGGTTTTGATAACAATATCTTTAAACCCATTTGAGTGAGCAGTGGCTTAAATGTTTTGTCAAGAAGTAATAAATTAAGAGTCCATTTGAATGTTACATTGATGCCCGTTTAAAAGGTGGATTAATCGTGTGTATAAACTGATTATTGCAATTCCTACTACATATTTGTCAGTAAAAAGAACTTGTTGGGACCAGCATACACTGGCCTGCCTTTCTTATTGTGGAGGAGAAGGCAGGGAGCCGTGGTTGGCTATTTTAACCGCACTTTGGCCGTGCAGCGACAACTGACAGGGACGGACGTTGGCAGGGACTCCCCTCGTGGCTTTGAAGATGACTGACTTTCTGGCCTTTGGTCAGAATGCTAACCACGCTCAGCTAACTAGCTTGAATGCTGCCAAATCAGACTTCAGTAAAATGGAGCAGAATTTCCCTGATTGAACTTATTCAGAACATTTCACAACTAATCCTTACCCTGTGCAGGCGTTAAGTAACAGAGAGTTACATTGTACACTACAACAAAAAACCACAGTTACTTACCAAATCACTTTTTTTCACCCGAGCCAGAGAAAATGATGTTGCAGCCAATTTCAGTACAAAATGTGGCACATGCGCAAATGAATTTGTTTAAGTTGATACATACATGTTTTTAACCTAAATCAATCTCATAGGTGAAACTATTAAACCATTTTATGTTGCTCCTATTGATTATATATATGTTCATCCTGTAATATACATAATAAATCAAACCCATTTAAACTTGTCACATCTAAGGTCTTGATTCATTTTGTGAGTGTAAGGATGGCCGGATTAGAGGCCCCGCTATGAAGTTAAAGGGTCCGCCACACTGAGAAGGATTTTATATCTGGTCTGTATTGAAATAGACTGCTTTCTGGTTGAGACACTTTTTCTCTTCTTCTAAAATAAATTTAGAAATTCAAAAATATCTGTGGTGCTGATTTTTATTTCTCAGTTTTCAGATCCAACGGTCTCCATTGTCCTCAAGTAAAAAGTTGAAACGCAGATAGTCTTTCCTACAAATCCATGCATATATCCTGTCGACTCCATTTGGCTGGCTGGGGAGCTGACATATAGGGTTGCAGACACATACACATGCGGACTCTTGACCCGGCGTCTCCCGCCTCTTCATTCACAAAGCGCCCCCTGAGAACGTACACTCATGCCTTTTTGACCCCAGTCTTTGGTCAGCCATCACCTCCACTTAGAGTCTTACATATCGTAATCGTGGAGGAGGACGCACACTGTAGATTGAAGGCCGCTTGGCACTAACAGACCCCCCCCTCCTCCATGCTGTCTGGTTGATCCCTCGGGCTGAAAAGTTCAAGGCAGGGATTGACCCGTGCAGTTCCTTGTCCCTGATGGCAGAACAGGAAAAGATGACAAACACTGATAGTGTCAGACCAGAACTAAATGAATCTTAACATTTTGAGTGTTAAAGATCAGGTTTTCTTAATGTCTACATCCAAACAGAGTCTCGGGAGGTCAACACAAAGTGTGTAGCCTACTACATGAGTCTTAATTTGAGTTTTGGCCTTGATGATATTGAAAAATGAAAATATTATTTAAAAGAGAATTGAAAAAAACCCCGAAATATTCCTTCAATAATATTAGTTTAACTTCTCTTAGAGGCTGCAGCGGGAGGGTCCGAGCACAGTGGGAGGTGCGACGGGCTGCTTTAAGTGGGGTTGGTGAGGGAACGGAGGCCTCAGAAGAGCAGAGAGAAGCGAGGCGGAGGGGAGGGGGATATAAGCGAGGACAGTCGGGCCTAAGACACCGGGGTCACCTGCTGCGGAATAGACGCGCGACATCAGGCCCGCGCGGGGCGTGTAGCGCAGGAGCCGACGGATGCTCCGGGACAATGTTTAACAGCGTGGTGAGTAATACTACAACGTCTTAACGATTTCACTACGCGTGGCCCTTATCCGTTGTTATTACTGCAAGAGTTATTTGACTGATTCTGTATGATGGGCTGCATCTGACCCGCACCTGAATTGAGTTTGAGACCCCTGGTCTAGATGAACGTGAGAGGAGGAGCACACCGGAATGGACTCATCATGCGCACGTGCGCGGCTGGACACTTATCAGTTAGTCGGAATCAGATTCAGCTGTGCACCAGAAGGAATAGCTCATTCTAAAAAAGGGGGGGAAGTCGTTTGGGCTTCCATTTCAAAGTGGATGTTAGGAACAGTAGCCCACGGCCAATATAATAATAATAATAAAGTCACATAAATATCTTTTAAAAGCTTGAGCGAGTATCGTGTGCGGGGGTTACTTGTATTAGCGCGTGGGGCTAATGACGGCGGTTGCCATGGAAATATCAACGGGACCGTCATTGTGTCTCGCGCATCATTCCGGACTCACTGACACAATGTCGGAGGATGAAAGGAGAGCCGCGGAGGCGATTTTCCCTCCGCTACAGCAAGGAGACATTTATGTCGACACAGTAGGTGCTTTCACTTCCGAAACAACAACTTGTTTCCCTCCTAAAGTCTCGCAGCTTGTGGGCCAACTTTCAGTTGTTGTATCGACAGACTCGGGCCCCTGTACTCATTACTGATTGAAGCCAATATGTAGCCTTCTGTAATACTGTGAACCAGCCGAGCTAAAGAACGCTGTATTACTTTTTAATGCCCTCAAAACTCCGAGCCTTACCACCGTGAGATATGGTCAAACTCACGCAATGCACTCACGTTTTTACATGTAACATGTGGAAACATTAAGTGTGGTGACATTGTCGGACATTCTGCTTCTGACAGGGTTCCTCTGGGCCTGATGATATTTTCGACGAGGACTCGTACTCTCCGTCCTCCCTCTCCTCGTCCTCCTCGGCCTCCATCCGCACGGTGGGCTCCCTGCAGGGGAAAACCGTGTGCACCTCCTGCGGCCTGGATATAGTAGACAGATACCTCCTCAAGGTCAGATGAAGATGTGGTTGACAATAATATAGTGCGCTTCTTACTAACAAAAACTCTTTCATATTTTAGTTTTTTTTTTTAAACACATGAGACTTAAATTAAGAATATCTGCATTTTAAAACTACAAACTACTACCGCTGAATACTCTAATCCTGCTATGCACTCGTCTTATTCCTTGATAAGCACATTACTAAGTTTTATAGCTAGTGAGAATGAGACCCGTCATTCCATTAGCACAAATGCTTTGTGAAGAATCTGAGGACCCTCTGTTAAGGAATGTATAAAAAGTCACTTGTACGCTTCATCTTGATACATTCTTTCTCCATCTCAGGTGAACGACTTTTGCTGGCACGTGCGCTGCCTCTCGTGCAGTGTTTGTAACACATCACTAGGGCGTCATGTGAGCTGCTACATTAAGGACAAACAGGTTTTCTGCAAACTCGACTACTTCAGGTGAGTCCGCACTGACACTGTTTTGTCTCTAGTGGCATTTCTTGATAAATAACAATCATGTGAGAAAAATAAAAATACCAACGGTTTGCTGCTTGCAATGATAATTGTCATTGTTCAAGCATCACTTGTATACTATAAACTACTCTTATCCTGAATGTCTAGGCCTTGGAATTAATTACAAGCTGCAATTGAAATAAAACAACGTCAAGGAACAAACAAACTGTGGACACATTGATGTTGCTTGCATGCTTCTGCACATTCAGCTCAATCTGATAGAGCAACCATAATTTAGGAAATATATTGTCAGCATTGCTGTTTAAAAAAAATCAAATAAATGTGCCCAGTGTTTTTGATTTTGTTTTTATTTTGACTACTCTCTACGAGTTGGAATACATAAGTAGATTACTCACAGAAAGTGGAAATTGAGAACAGCTTTATCAGACTGACCTCTCTCGCCTGGTCTGAGAGGCCCAAGCTCTGGAGCACACTGTATATGCCGTTCTATCACCAATGTGAAAAAATAATGTTCAAATATGCCAATTGTTGACAAAGCATTGGTTGATTTTGGTTTATTCGGCTTCTGTGGAACCTCTTCCTTCACACTGCTATAAAGAAAACGTCCATAATACACATTTGGGTGTTTATTTTACTACTTTGTCTCTTTTGGGTCTGCAAATTTTAAATTGACAAAAGGTTTGCTTTAATCATCTGCATTTTTAACATAACCTTTAAAAAATGTAGAACAATTCCTAATTGTAATTTCACACATCTATGTTTTAAAGGACTCTTCCCTTAATTTACTTTACTTACGTTCTCATGGCCAGAAATCTCCACTTCAGTAGCACTTACATACAGAATTAATATTATATATAATACAAAATACGGGAACAATTGATTTAAAAAAAAAAAAAAAATGTTTTGGCTGTAGAGCAGTAATTCTGAACCTGGCTTTACCAAATATTCAGGTGTCCTTTTTTAAAAATGTATTTGCATTTTTTTACTACATACAAAATTAGTTCCTTTTGCTAGCTTCCATTTGCATATTTCAACATAACACTCCAGGAGACTTGAAATGGCAAGTAATGGTATCGATGTTGGTAATGAATTTCAGTTTTATGGCTATCTACTATTTACTCTACGGGTCTGTAGCAGGACATCTAGAGCCGACGTAAAACAAGTGGGACTAAATGTAGGTCTCTCTGTAGAAGATGATCCCTTCACTAGATGATACCATCACTGATGACGTAGTCACAAGCCCCACCCAACCACTTTAACCCAAAGCCGACTTATATTCCACCTATTGTCCCGTTGCCGGTCTCTTGTTTAGGAGGTATGGGACCCGCTGTGGCCGCTGTGGCCGTAACATTCACTCCAGCGACTGGGTGCGTCGGGCTCGAGGCAGCACCTTCCACCTGGCCTGCTTCTCCTGCACCTCCTGTAAGCGGCAGCTGTCCACAGGGGAGGAATGCGGACTGCTAGAGAACCGGGTCTTCTGCCGGCCACACTATGACATCATGATGGAGAATATCAAACGCACTAAAGAAAATGGTGAGGAAGAGGTGTGGTTGAGCAATGCTAGACAAAAAGTCAGATCAATAATATAAAGAAAGAGTTCACTGATCTTGGTAATCGACCCACTTTGGTTACATGCAGGTGGCAGCTTGGACACCAAATACTCACTCAGTGACCCATAAGATGGCCACAGGAGGAGCTCATCTGAAACAGGCCCTTATTTTGAAAATGTCAAATGACTCCTGTTACACGTTTTTGTCTCAAGAGCAACCAAAAGCAGCAGCAGAGGAGGAGGAGGAGGAGGCCGAGAAAGAAGAGTCAGGCACCCTGAGCAGACCCGCTAAGAGGGCCAGGACCAGCTTCACTGTGGACCAGTTACAAGTACGGCGAAACCTGTCTGTGTCCTTCGCCTAGTGCTCTGATTAGTGGGCTATACATGTATTTTCTCCTCAGTGTAGTGCAGGTGGCACAGAAATGTTCAGGCAACAAGTACTGTACAGACACAAATGGATTCTCTAAAGGCTAAGGAAAGGTGCCTCAATGCTTACGTACTCCGTGCTTCTTTAGCATAGGAACCACTTGACTGTCCTTTACGAAAGAAAAGGAGAGAATTCCGTGCCACAATTCCCTGCTAAATGCTGCCGAATCATTTGGGCGTTTGCGAGAAACCATGATCATGATGGAGAAACGCAGATCCTTTAAGTAACTGTTAGCGTAACAAATTTAAATGCATTATATACTTTCTTTTATATCGTCTGCATGACTCTGCACTGTAACAACACCTGAAGGCATCTAAGATGCTTGTTTGTAATCCATCTTCAAAGAAATTGTAGTTTGTCCGCTGCGCACGCCGCTGTCGGAGATGTTCGGTTACCTCGTTCTCATGATGTCTGCCCTCTAGTGTGCAGGGTATTTGACCACAAACTGAATTTTCGTGAGTTGTCTTTTCTAACCAACAAGTTCTCTCTCTCTCTCTCTACATGTGTAGGTAATGCAAACTCAGTTTACTAAAGATAACAACCCAGACGCACAGACTCTACAGAAACTGGCAGAGTGGACCGGTCTCAGTCGCAGAGTTATTCAGGTAAAGCCTCTCACTACTGGACAGCAAGACATTTGCTTCCAAGAAAAACGTCAGCATTGTGATGAATTCTGACAATAGAGAGAGAATGATAACTTTAATGGCGTAGTCAAAGTATGCAATCAGACTCCAACTAGAGTAATCAGTTTGTTCTCCTGGTTCAGGTTTGGTTTCAGAACTGTCGAGCTCGACAAAAGAAATACATCAGCCCAAATTCTGCCTCCTCCCTGATGACATCCTTTGCTCCTGGTCAGCTGACGCCACCTTTGATGGAGGACCTGCAATACACAACGTACATTTCCCCGGACACACCCCTCCTCACCACGCTGACTTACATGGAAGGTGAGAAACAAACACACATTGCTATACTTTCATACGAGGTTAGCTCAGTGCTAATAATATAAATTGTCAATGGGATAGCTGTGTGTATGGTCTGGGCGGGTGACAGCCTACCTGACGGAATCCCTTCTCTACAGTTTGTTTAAATCATGTTCTATAAATGTAGCTGTTGTCTCAGAAATAACTTTGTGATTCAATGAACAGTCCTTCATCATTTTTCATCCTTTTCAACTCCCTTAGTCCAAAATCCGGACCCGCTTTTGCTTCAGCCACTCATCTCTCATTCCCTAACACAACTGCCAGTCAGCCATACCTGAGCTGCAGCCCGCCTCTCTACAACGGACGACAATGATAATGGCTGATGATTGGATGATGACAACCAAAGGCCACGGCAGCAGTTGGTCTATTCGTATCGTTAAATGCATCGCGTGTGGCAGCCAGAGTTAATTTCATCGGATCACACAGACAGGGACAATGAAAGTGTCAATGCAACCTTTGTTAATATGTATATGTTGTGCATTTCTTTGTTTAATTTATTAGGAAAAAATGATCGAATATGGCACTTTATGTGTAATGAACTTTTCAGTTTCAAGCCTTTTATTTAAGGATGTGTTGGATGATCGAATTGTAAGTTGGGCATTCGAGTGGTTGCTCCTGCTCCTACTCCAAAGTTTGTTACTGACCGATGTGTAGAAAGTACTGATGCAGACTGTCCTCCGCTTGCAGTGCCTAAGTAGGCTCCTCTCAAAACTTCCACTTGTCTTATTTTGGGAAAAAAAAAAGATTAAATGCAATGCAACATTTAAATGTTTCCTTAGCTAGAAGCCATGTATGAAGTGCAACATGACATGTTTGACCTGCTGGGAATTAAAAGTCTACGGCTGCAACACAATGTGCTGTTTGAGTTCACATGCTTTGGACTGTTTCTATTTGTGTGACATTGTGCAGTACTCGTACTTAGAGCTTTGCAGAGGATATATTAAATTATTTTAGAAGTTCTCTCTTGAAATGCTGCTTACTTTTTTGCATTCATAATTTTAATATAGTCTATACATTCTTAATATAACTGCTTTGTCAGGTGCTATTGCACTGCATAACAATAACTACGTATTGTTAATAATGAATTGCAGCACATCTCCTGAAGTCTTTTAAGTCTTAATCATTATTGGATGAACTAAAGACAAATCATGTATTTTGATTTATTTTATTAAAACTACTCTACTACACAGGAAATGGGTGTAGCATATTTCAGTATGGATTTACCAGGAAAGTAAACACAAAATTGTTTCATCAAACTATTGTTTGACAAACTGTTGTTTGGCTCCTATTTTGCCGATTCGTTGGTGTGGAAAGATTTTATATATATACGTGACTGTAATCGGGCCACGGTCTGCTTTCTTTTGAGATATTATTTGTGTATACTGCATGAAGTGCCGTAGCGGAAGAGCAAGAAGGCAAGTGGTTACTGGGTCAACTAGATGCCATTATATGGGTCATTTGGAAAATAATTTTGTTGGTGTTTGAGTTGTCTTTGTAGCATGTAAAAATGACTAATATGTTCTTGTAGTTCAGGTTGTGCTGTTTAATTTGATGTGCAACATCACTATATTCTTGTGTGATCAGTGCATTGTTTCACACTGTGTTTTGCTCTGGCTTAAAACACTCATCAGTAATGAATTGGAATAAAGATATCACAATTATTCAATTAGGTTTTAGACGTTACGGGACGGGTGGAGGGCGACTGCGATCCCCGGTGATTCCTCACTCTCGAGACCTGCCCTCTGATTGGTTTGTTTCAGGTTCACGGCCAATCAAACCAACAATGGCAGCGAGTATTACTCAATCAAGGGCCGAATAGGACGAGTCTTCACAGAATTCAAGTGGGATTATTTGCATGGGATGCTGCAGTGACAACTCGGAAAATACGGGACAAACCCCGTCCCGCATTGATTCAAAACGGGACGCGCTATTTTGTTCTCAAATATGGGACGATTCCATATTTTTGGGGACGGGTGGCAACGCTATGCCCCAGGAACTGCGCTGTCTATGTGTGTATGCCATTAGCATTGCGCGGCCCGCAAGGCTGTGATTTGTCTGCTAACTACATCCTTTCTGGCGTCTCACATTTCCGGTTTCATAGCACAATACCGCCATTATTCAAACAAAGATTTTTTACGAGAGAATGGATCAGATTGAAGAGCTTTTGTCGGAAGAAATCCGTAAATATGACCACTTGTACAACCCGTCGTTGACGGACTATAAGGACGCGCAGGTGGCCTCCGATTCATGGAGGGAGATCTCCACAAACGTCAGTTTGCCGGTCAAGGGGTGATCAAAGTAGTAGGAGGAAAACAAATATGCCCTTTCGAGAAAAAAGGCGATGAAAAGCAGCAGCGGCCATGGCGGCCAATAAAATCTATGATCAATAATCAATAAAGGCGCCAGCCTTAACAGCCACAACCAATCCCGCGGAAAGGTGACGTAGGACAGAGCTGCAGATCTCGGTGCATTCATAGGCCTACATGCAAGGGCGTAACCATGGTTTAGACATTGGGGGGGGGGGGTGTAGGCGCGGACGATACGCGGGAGGTTGAAGAGGAACCAACACAGCTCGGCCCGAAGTCCGATTTTTTTTTAGACCGACATGAGTGACTGTCAAGCTCAATGCGTGACACTTGAGAGCACTGCTTTCATGGTGGTTTTCATGTGGCTCGTTGGCCGCTAGTCGGCCTGGTGCCCGCCGCGCTGCCCCGCTGAGCGAAGCGATTGGTCATTCAAAGAGTCCCGGTGCGTTTTTCTTAACAAACAGAAATAAATTGAAAATAAATAAGGCATAACAACAGATCCATTGACAGAGTTCATAAAAGGAGAACATATATTTTACATTTTCTGCTGTATATTGAGGGGGACAGATTGGTATTTTCTTAATATTGGGGGGGGGACGACCCGCCCAAAGAATGCGTGGTTACGCCCTTGCATACATCATGTACACCTTACATACGTCTACTAGAGCAGTGTGTTCTCAGCTAGCAACGTGAATACAGATGCAGGCATCTGAGTTTGGGGGTTCTGTCAAAGCCAGTGGCTGGCTTGACATGGCCTCCTCCTTTCTTCAGTCGATTTCATGTTCATGTATCGCACAGGTGTCGAAAGTATTCATATTCAGTAAAAGGCTCATACCACCAGAGGAATCGACCACCCAACCTGCCGTTCTGAAAAAGGATCCTACCACTGACCACTTTTCGCACCTGGCGTCACTCTGATTTGAGTCATCTGCAGGTGCATTGCAGAGAAAAGCAGGGTTTTTATAGAGGAATAGAGGAAGGAGAGAGTGTCAGCATGCCTCTTAAAACGGGAGTCCTAAAAAGAGTGTACTCTCTTTGCTACAGCTACTGCAGTATCAAATGCTACTGCTAATTGCTACTGTTATCTGCCATGGCTACTATACTGCATTTTAACCTTTAATCTTCGCAGGTTGATTGCCGGCATTCAAGTTTGATGTTGCCAGTTCTCTGTTGTCACACACTCATCACTCACTGATGCAGGTATTGCAAGGTCGCCGCAACTTCCCATCTCCAGGAATTCTAGCGCCGCCCGCCTGCTCAGGACACGGTCCGTACCACATCCATCCATCCATCCATCTTCAACCGCTTATCCGGGGTCGGGTCGCGGGGGCAACAGCTCCAGCAGGGGACCCCAAACTTCCCTTTCCCGGGCCACATCTACCAGCTCTGACTGGGGGATCCCAAGGCGTTCCCAGGCCAGTGCAGAGATATAATCTCTCCACCTAGTCCTGGGTCTTCCCCGGGGCCTCTTCCCAGTTGGCCGTGCCTGAAACACCTCCCTAGGGAGGCGCCCAGGGGGCATCCTCACCAGATGCCCAAACCACCTCAACTGGCTCCTTTCGACGCAAAGGAGCAGCGGCTCTACTCCGAGCTCCTCGCGAATGGCTGACCTTCTCACCCTATCTCTAAGGGAGACACCAGCCACTCTCCTGAGGAAACCCATTTCGGCCGCTTGAACCCGTGACCTAGTTCTTTCGGTCATGACCCACCCTTCATGACCATAGGTGAGGGTAGGAACGAAGATTGACCGGTAGATCGAGAGCTCCGTACCACAGCAATGCTTTATTAGAGGCTGGGCCTGGTTAAGCGCAGGATGCATTTTCAGAGGTGGAGATTACGCTTTGGCTAAATGTGCAGCCAACCAGAGACCATCAAAAAAAAAACATTTTAATTGATGGGTGCCGTTCTGACCTGCGGTTCTGGGCTCTCCTGCTCGAGCACTGGAACGGAATAACGTTCTTTTACTACTATATTGTGAATTCCTCCGATTCACTGTAACTATTCAAGAGCCTGCTTTGTCTGGGCCAAGCATTGGAAACGCAGGCAAGGATAGCATGATATGCAAAATTGTGTCATTAAGGGTTTAGGATAAGAAAAGGGGACACATAAATCCAAAGTGCCTATGTATTAATCTTATAAGTAGGACCAAATACTTTTTTTCTATAAGATAATCAGCCATATTATGGAATACATATAAAAGAGATGCTCTGTAGATTTACCTAGGCTTAACCTAGGTATTATAAGAGGTATAAAGTCATCCTTATTGACACACCTATATGTGCAGGTGTTCTTATTTTTATCTAAAACTGTACAACGCAATATATATATGTTGGTGTTGAGATATGTTTGCGTTATGTAATGGACAGAAGTGACAGTAGTTCTGCGAGCAGATGTGAGGCCCTAGTGCAGGTGGACACTTGATAGGATGATTTATGGCCTCAGAGGCCGTGAGAGTCTTTTTCCTCGTCCGTGCTTTTTGGGGGATTGCCTGAATCTCCAGACTTCTGTCTTTTTTGGGATATACATAACAAACAAGATTGACGTTTGAACGTCAGTGTTGTAAATCCATTTAGATGATATCTAAACGCACGTTGAGGGTACTTGCCAGACTGGTTAATGCTGTCATGCATAGATGATATCTAAATGGATTTTTGTCTAGATGTAGCGGTTGTACTCTCTTGCGTTGTGTTTTTCAATTACCACCAGGACATGGACCACATTCAGCACCCTGGCGAACATACAGAAGTTAGCGTCACACATTATTACACAGCCTGCACGAGACTAACTTTAGCTACAGGGTGTCACACCCACGTCCGCAGGGACCCACTATAGGGCCTTCCTTTTGTTTTTCCTATTATCAAACGGCGTGGTGAAGGTTAAAACTAAAAACATGTGAAAAGCCGAGGGAAATTTCTACTTTTTGCTTAGGTACAAATGTGCAGATTCGCAGGCACAAATGGATAACCGACTGAAATCTCAAAGAGAAAAGCGCTGGATGCTGAGTTGATTTAGCTCTAAACTGAACATATTTCCTTTATATGAATCAATGTATTAACATATTTCCATCTATGTCTTTTATTTTGAAAAGACAAAATTCCGGAAGTGGCGTATGACATTTGGCATGCGCATACAGAGGAAGAAAAGCACTAGCGTTTAGCCGACGGCATTACATTATAAACATTAACAATCCGGGCTGTTTCTCTCGGTCGCTGGGATGGAGATATAAGGTAAATCCTGTCTTAAATGTACGAACTTTTTTCTAACACAGTTGTCAACAACCCTCCTTCTCGGAAGCGTTAATGTTAACTTATTTTACGTCACAATTTGGTTACAATGTTATATGTAACGTACTGATGCTGACACCCATTCTCCAGTGGCAACGGATGCCCTAAACATGTTTGCTAAGTCAGGGGTGTTTTCGTCGGTTGAATCGCTTTACTTGAACACGCTGTTTGTACTGTATCGTCTGTGGGTTTAGCGATAGCACTTAGCTTCTGCGTTAACTGACATCCTCTGGAAATGATCAAACATTAGCCAACTGACGTCAGCTCGTTAGCCAACCGGCTACTGTAGCTCGCTGTTTTTACTGGCTACGTCAGTTCTTCGTCTAGGCAGCAGGCGATCCTTCGAACCACACCACCCGTCTCTGTCACTCGAGTGACATTAGTGATATTAGGATCCTAATGTCAATCGAAATAAACGTAAAGAGGATCGGTTTTCAGCAACTTTGTCGAGTTAGCTAACGCTAGTTGGATTGTCCTGCATCTGAAACTGCTTACAACAACAACAACAACAACAGTGGCTTCTCTCAGTAACTCTCCAATAATGCGGATTATGCAGCTAAAAAACACCCTCTCTGCCAGGAAGCTAACGTGTGCCTACATAACATGAAGTGATATGGCTGACGCGGGTGACTATTATCGCTAAATCTATATAATGTATTGGTTCTCAATTAAATTCCCGTGAAATAAATGGGTCCTGTCATGTTATATTTGTTGTCTATGGTCACGCAGCCAACCCCAACTCATGCATGTTTGCTGTCTTTGTCGGTCGACCTCAGGGTGTGGGACCAATAACTGCTCTTCAGTGCATGGACGCAAAGCCAATGCGCAGGTAAGTGTGTGAAAGAAACCTTTGTAAAATTGAAGAACTCTCCATAACTCAGTGGATTCTAATGTAAGCACGTAAACAGACTAATCCGTGTCCCTTCATGAGGTTATGCTCCCATTCTTTAGTTTTTCAATCAGTATATGATGGTCTATTTAGATTGAAATAGACCATAAGCCAGCGGATACTTTAGGCGCGTCCATTGTGATTGACAACCTCAACTGCCAGAAAATATAATGTTTCTACAGTTCATCCCAGATATGGTCACTTCCATTTAATGTTGGCGCCTGACAAAATGGTAAAACTTAAGGGTCCAAACCATGCTCCACAAACCGGTGTGTGAGATTGTGACAAGTACGTACAGTTCTAATATCAAGTCATTTATCCGAACCTTTATTATAGGCATGTGGCTTCTATCTGTGAGTGTGAATCCTGGTTACTGTTCACTTCTAAATTTTGAGCATCAAGCCCAATTCTTGAAGGATTATCCGACCATAATTCCATATGCCTATTTTAAGCTCTACTTTAGACAGTGCATTTCTGTTCTCAGGTCTCAGATAATCTTAAAGGATGATGATGATGATGATGATGATAATAATGCTAATAATAATAAGAATGATAACAAAAACACTACTGATTATGACAATAACAGTAATAAAAACGAAACAAGCAGTTCTATTATCAATGATTAGGAAAATTAGTATTAGTATTTGACAGTTAAAAGATTAATAAAAACATTTAACTGACATGGTAAAACAAAACTACCCAACAGAGCTGAGCATGATGAGTGGTAAAAGATGTAAAGTAAAAACCGAGCATGTATTTACAAAAAATCATTGAACCATCTGAACCGTTTTTAGGGTCACCAGCGCACGCCAAGACGCTACTGGAATGGACATCACCAGCCGCTGTACTCTGGGGGACCCCAACAAGCTCCCAGAGGGGGTCCCCCAGCCCGCGCGCATGCCCTACGTCTCGGACAAGCACCCACGGCAGACCCTGGAGGTGATCAACCTTTTGAGGAAACACCGGGAGCTCTGCGACGTGGTGCTGGTGGTGGGCGCCAAGAAGATTTATGCTCACCGCGTCATCCTGTCAGCCTGCAGCCCTTACTTCAGGTACAAGGAGGCTCCTCGCGAATTCACATGGCGGTGCAGGTGCATTACCTCGAGTGCTGGGCTGTGATAATAAGCAGTGATGATGGGCACATTCTCTTCAGGGCAATGTTTACTGGGGAGCTGGCGGAGAGCAGGCAGACCGAAGTGGTGATCCGCGACATCGACGAGAGGGCCATGGAGCTGCTCATTGACTTCGCCTACACCTCACAGGTAATTGCTGGTGTGTTGTTTATGGTTACATAAAACACTATCAGCCATGAGAACATTTTATAGGGATTGGAATGGATTTTTATATTGCTTTCACTAATCAATCTGGGGTTTTTGGGGGGCGGGGGGTAGATACAGTCAAAATATAATATATGTCCAGTTCAGTATGGTCAGTATTTCAAAATGTTATCCTTTTGTTTTGTCAATGTCTTTAATAGTGGTTATTTATAGAAAACACCGTTCCAAGCTTGCGTGCAAGTTTAGAGAGCATTTCAGGTGTCTACCAGCATCGGAGTTGCCAGATCATTTGTTCAGGTCTTAACCATTGAATGTAGTGTATCTCTGAATAGAATCATGAATGTAATTTGTAGCAAACTGCAAATTAAACTGGATTTCCCAAGAACAAAAATTGTGGCTAATCAAATTGCTAAGTGGCTAGTAACTAGTAGCTAGAAAACCACGAGCCACAGTGGCTGGTGATCAAGCCCTGCATGTGCCTACCCTAATTTTGTACAGGTCAAACATGATAGAAAAAGGTGCACAAGCAACAGGGATAGCTGCAGCCTTGTCAAGCAAAGCCCATTCAAGAATTTGGGGTAAATTAACAAAAAGTGGACTGCAGCTGGAGTCAGTGCTTCTAGAGCCACCACACACAGACGGATCCAGGACGGGGGCTACAACAGTCGCATTCCTTGTGTCAAGCCACACCTGAACCACAAACTATGTCAGTGGCCTCTTACCTGGGCTAAGGAAAAAAAGGACTGAACTGTTGCTCAGTGGTCCGACGTTGTCTTTTCAGATAAAGGTTTGCATTTCATTTGGAAATCAATTTCCCAGAGTCTGCAGGAAGAGTGGAGGGGCTCACAATTCATGGTGCTTGAGGTCTAGTGTGAAGTTTCCAGTCCAGTGATAATTTGGGGAGCCATGTCATCTGCTGGTGTTTATTAAGTCCTAGTGTCTACATACGCACACATGAGACAGTTGTCCCACAATTGGGGTGCCCACACTTTTCCGCCTCAACTAACCAAGTCATGGCGATCCACCCCGTCCCCTCCAAGGGCCGTAGTAGCGGTGACCAACAACAGCGCTGCCGTCAGCGCATAATGAGTCGATATGAAGAAAACAACAAGCCTCTCATCTGTCAGAAGAAGGAAACGTCACAAGCATCCCCCACATTTTTGGTCGTTACCTTACTGCAGTCAGCCTGGGTTGCTTTGGAATGAAATGCATCCGTTAGTAAGCAAGGATTGCTAATTAGCATTAGTTTCTGGCATCTCCCGCCGTAGGCCGCAAATGCGTGACGTGGCGTAATTTTTTTTAATCGACGGGTCAATTGCGATCGACCTATTGGGCACCCCTGCTCGACACGATCTTGTCCTAAACCTTTTGCCATCCCCAGTGTCGCGATGACTCTCCTGTCTCTATGCAACCTTGCCTGCTTGGCATCTCACATTATCTGTTTATGGGCCTCCTGTTAGCTTCTCCCTTCTCTCTGTTGAATTATAACTCATCTACAGGGATATATTAATATAGATATACCCCTACCAGCGGCAGCTGGTGGATTTTTCTTTGGTAGGCAAATTCCTCACAACTGTGTGGTCAAAAGTTATCAAATTCAAGAGTTTACGTGCAACTACCTGGGCGTGGCCAGGCGTCCATTTTGGTCGATTTTCTTGAAAATGTCAAGGAAGGACTCCAAGGAACATTTTTATTTCTGGCCGAAATTCTTTATACATGATGCTAGTGTAGGCCTTAAAGTATTCCAATGCAGTGATTTTCAAAAAATTACAGCACCACCTATTGGCAAAGGGAGGTGAAAGGTTTTACACTTTGATGAGCTACTTTCATCTAATCAACCTCAACTGTCTGCAGATAATCCTTAATTGTTCATGGTTAATATTATATGAGTTTTTGAAAAACAAAAGTGCTAAATTGTTAGTTGATTGTTTCCTTTTATATCTAATCTGAATTTGACCAAGTAGTCTCGTGAAAGATTTTGAAGGAAGGGGGTCGTCGTGGCGCAGGGGGTAGAGAGGGTGTGCTGGGGAAGCACAAGGTTGGTGGTTCGAGTCCTGGCTGCCCCATGTTCCATGTCGAAGTGTCCCTGAGCAAGACAACTAACCCCTAATTGCTCCCCGGGCAAAAATGTAAAAAGCCACGGATTAAAAATGTAATGTAAGTCGCTTTGGATAAAAGCGTCAGCTAAATGACCTGTAATGTAATGTAATGTAATGTAAAGTTTGCTCATGTATGACATTTTGAGAGACTTTATCTTTGAAATGGTACATCAGAATGTCCTGATTATCACTGATCAAATATACATTAAAAAAGTGCACAATAACTAAATCCAACATACTTATAAACACACACACATATACACTCCCATTAACCTTTTTCAGTTCTCACAAACATATGCAAATTATGTAAAACTGCTGTTTGCGAGCCTTGTTTTGTGCAAAGGCAATCACAATGTCCAAAGACTGGCGAACATCGCGCTCAATTGAAGTAAGTGCCAGTCCTGTGAGCCTTTCTTGGCCCATGGTGGCCCTCATGTAATTTTTTATCAGCTTCATAGCTGAAAAGCTCCTCTCACCAGAGGCCACAGACACAGGGAGAGTCAGGAGTAGACGCAATGCTTAAATTACTGTACGAATCCAGTAGCTTCTCACTGTATATGTAATTAAGCATGTCAAATGGGGAAGTGGCTACGTGGTCTGGAAAAGTGTAGAGAGATGAATTGATCTCAAGTGCCAAGTCATCAGCATCAAAGTCATGAAGAGTTTTTTCCAATTTTTTGCATCGTTCATGAAGCTTTCCATTCTTTATTGTCTGCTTCATGTTGTCCTTTGAGAACAGAAAGTCATAAAGGTCATAAACACCCTTCTACCTTGTCTCTTCTTATCTTCCTCTTCCTTTTTTTGCTTCCTGAAGCGTAACTCCGCTTCATGATGCCAACTGTCCCATATTACGCGGGACATCCCGAATTATGGGCATTTTTGATTTGTCCCGACCGTGACAGCTCCAGTTCCGTTTTCCAATCACAGCCTCCTAAGTCAATGACGCGCGAAAAACTCCCGATTGTTGTGACGCATCCGACCAGTGTGCCGGGTGACCCGGCCGCCGACCGATTTTTTTTTATCCCCAAATGCGCAACCCCAAGAATATCTAAATTTTAAATATTAAACTTCTGATTCGCATGCCAAAATTCAAGAGTTTTTGAATATGATAAAGGCCTCAAAAGTGCGATTTAAAGTGGAGAAATACACAATAGGGCTTTGCCTGAATTTCCGTTGGCTCGAGCCCTAATAAAGGGGCCTCGATCATTTCTGCCGCGGAGATGGGGGACAGTCTACAGACAAGGTTTCGCTCAAACAACCATAGTCTTGGATTAAAAAGTGCACGCAGAGTGTCTGACGTCGTAAACCTCCTTGCTCCCAGGTGACTGTCGAGGAGGGAAATGTTCAGACGCTGCTACCCGCCGCCTGCCTCCTCCAGCTCGCTGAGATCCAGGAGGCCTGCTGCGAGTTCCTCAAGAGGCAGCTGGATCCCTCCAACTGCCTGGGCATCAGGGCCTTCGCAGACACGCACTCCTGTCGGGAGCTGCTCCGCATCGCCGACAAGTTTACCCAGCACAATTTTCAAGAGGTAAGCTCATGGAAAAGAATCTGGACATCATTGTTTTTACTTGCCGTTGATCTTGTTAAAGATTCCACTCTATTGATACATATCAAACATTATGCGATGCCTGATCTTTGGTGCTGAGATGAAAAGAAGTAAAAGAGCCGTTGCTGCATCGCATTTGAAGTTAGTAGCATCACAATTTATTGCTTTTCAATGTAAATGTATGCAGTCAAGTGAGGTGAATTCAGCAAACCTAAGGCACCTATGGGACATTCCTGTTGCATTTCCATTTTATATTTTCCATACAAATCTGCCTTGTGCTACTAACTATAAGCTAATAATGATAAACATGGATAACTGCTGAATTGCTGCGTCTCCCGCCGTCTTTACATTACATGTCATTTAGTTGACGCTTTTTTACAGAATCAGGAAACATTTATTACCAAAATATGTCAGACATACAAGGAATTTGACTTTGCAGTTGGTGCATAACAGCAGACAATTAGACAATGGACAACAAGGCCGATTAGACAACATAGTGCAAGAGGAATAAAATAAAATATAAGGCTATGGGTTAGTTTAAAACCTAAAGGAATAAAAGTTTAAAATAAAGTGCACAAGCAAACAGATAGCGAAACTCTACACACTGTGTTGTGAGTGTATGTGAAAATGACACGTGCCAGTGCAGTGACCGGTGGGATATCAGTCAGTGGGGGACCGGGCTCTGTTGATGAGCCCGACTGCCGACGGGAGGAAACTGTTTGTGTGGCGGGAGGTCTTAGTCCTGATGGACCTCAGCCTCCTGCCAGATGGAAGGGGCACAAACCAGTGTTCATTTTGGCAGCTATTTTTGATTTAGTCTTAGATGTCTTAAATGGATAATAGTTTTAGTCACATTTAGTCATTTTAATCCTTCTTAGTTTTAGTCTAGTTTTCGTCACATTTAATAGCCATTTTAAACTCCTTTTCTTCCCTTCTCAGGCCCAGGGTCCCCCTGTGTTGTGTCTACAACTGCATAATAGTCTAGCTTGCAGCCGGGCCAAGAACAAATGGTTCAAGTGTTTGTGTGAGCGGATATAAATTACATTTGAGAAATCATTACATGAAAGGATTTGAATTTTAACAAATAGCAAAGCATTTATTTGCAAGGCAATTTAACAAATTGGCAAAAGTGTAACAACTTCATGAGGACCAGGGATCTAAACGCAACACTTTGTTGTCTTTGTCTGTTTACTTGCAATGCTTTTGACGTGGCCACCGGAAACTTCATGGTCCTTTATTGTTTCCACTGTCCCAACAAGAGAGACCTTAACGTAATACAATCGTTGCACTACATTATTTTCTTGGTTGCATCATAAACCAGCCATTCTAAACTGGACCCCCACTTTTCATTCAAGTCTTTTCTTTCTCTTTGTCTCTTTGTTTATTTGTTAGTTTCATGACCAGTTCTTCTCTCTTGGGTCCTGCGGGTTTTCCTCCACCTGCTCTGTGCCGCCACATTCTTCACCTGCACTGCGCAGTTCTATCAAAAGGATCCACCTGTCACGTGTGTGACGCCTCTACGTTGCTTAGTAACGAGCGTACGGTGGCCGAGACGGTTTAACACCGTCTTCTCACGATGTGGCATGTGAACTATAGTTGAAATGCATGAGGCTTCAGAACCTGCAATGAGTTTATTATGTTAGACGTGTTAACAGCCCCGAGCTGTTAAACGGGTCTTCATGTTTCTCTGAAGCAGCGCGGCTTCAGCCTGCTAACAGTCAGCTACACCGACACAGCTGAGGTAAACTAAGGAAGCGCACATTCAAACTCGCCGAAGCGTAAAATAGTCGTCGCGGTCCGTAGTCGGTGCACAAGAACAAGGGTTCGTGGATGACGTCATCATGACGCATTAATATCCGCCGTACTTTGCCTGTCTGTTAGATGCGTGCGAATTTAGGGGGAAAAAGTATTGTGACTTCGTCAACCACCAACATGTTCGTCTCGTCTCGTTAACGAAAGTTAGAATAGATTTAGTCATAGTTTTTATTTTTTAAGATCGTTTTCGTCACGTCTTAGTCATGGAAAAAAGGTTCGTTAACGAAAAAATTTCGTCATAGTTTTAATCGACGAAATTAACACTGGCACAAACAATTTCCCGGAAGCGATCAAGTCTCTGTAGAGCGGATGACAAGCTGCAGCCTACCCTTGTCCTTGGCTGTGGCTGCAGTGTACCCGACGGTGATGGAGGAGCAGAGGATGGACTTGATAATGGCCGTGTAGAAGTGGACCATCATCGTCATTGGCGGGTTGAATTTCTTCAGCTGCCTCAGGAAGAACAACCTCTGCTGAGCCGTGTTGGTAATGGAACTGATTTTCAGCTCCTACTTGAGGTCCTGGGTGATGGAGCCCAGGAAACGGAAGGAATCCACAGCGGTGACGGGAGAGTCACACAGGGTGATGGGGGAAGGTGGGACTCTGTTCTTCCTGAAATCCACAACCATCTCCACCGTCTTTAGAGCGTTGAGCTCCAGGTTGTTGTGGCTGCAGCACGTCACCAGATGGTCCGACTCCCACCTGTAGGCGGACTCATCACCACAGTCCAATGAGGGTGGTGTCATCCACAAACTTCAGGAGCTTGACGGACTGGTGAGAGGTGCTGAGAGGCTGAGACATGTTTCTCCAACTTCACGTGCTGCTTCCTCTCAGACAAGAAGTCTGTGATCCATTTGCAGGTGGAGTCGGCCGGTGCAGCTGAGAGTTTGTCCTGAAGCAGAGATGGGTGATGTTGTTGAAAGCAGAGCTGAAGTCCACAAACAGTGGATTCCTGGGGAGTCCAGATGCTGGAGGATGTAGTGGAGCGCCATGTTGACAGCATCATCTGCAGACCTGTTAGCTCTGTAGGCGAACTGCAGGGGGTCCAGGAGGGGGTCGATGAGGGACAGGACTAGCCGTTCAAAAGACTTCATGCATCAAAGCAACTTACAATAAGTGCATTTGAACCATAAGGATACAAACAAGGAAGTGCAATTTCATCAAATAAGCTGAATTACAACTTGCTATAGATAAGAGCTACAATTTGTTAGCATTTTTAGTCAAGGTATCGTCTGAAGAGGTGTCTTTAGTTTGCAGCGGAAGATGTTAAGGCTCTCTGTGGTCCTGATGTCATCAGAGATACATATTTACATATATTGTATGTTCGTCTGGGAGGAATTCTGAATGGAATTCAGAGTTTTGTTTTTCACAAAATTAAAAATGGCGGGGAAGAGCACCTGTGTGCAAAATGTCAAGTCAATCTGTGAAACGGGGCAAAAGTCTCCCCAGAGGAAACACCTACCCTCAAAATTGCGATTTAGTGAAAGTGAAATAATAATAATTCTTTGAAACACAAAGGGGCTTTCAGTTGGCTCAGGCCCTAGTAAACTTTCAACAAGGAGAAAACGGAAGTAACCTGAGGGAAAACAGAGGAGGATCCCTCTGCCAGGATGGACAGACTGCAATGTATGTCATGTGTACAGAATGAACAACGAATCATATGGACATTACGCTCAATGCATACAATTCCCATAATGATTTAATCATACTACTATTATTAACAGCTGTAGTGGACTAAATGATTTCGAAGTAATAGTAGTATGACTACAACTGATTAATAACTTAAGGGAGTTATCCACAAAAAGAAACCACTTGGCAAGCAGAGAAAACACACTGAGTCCTAATCAGTCCTACAAAGGAGCCATCTCGCTTAATACCACAGCCCTGGGGGAAAAAAACTAACTAAACTGCAGCCCAATCTTGTTACACCACTTTTGTTTGGGATGGATGAATTCAAATTCCCTGTCCTCTCTTTGGGGCCGAGCCGCTGACTGACTCTCGTGCCCCATGTTGGTCTTAGGTGATGGAAAGCGAGGAGTTCATGCTGCTGCCCGCCAACCAGCTGATCGACATCATTTCCAGTGACGAGCTCAATGTGCGCAGTGAGGAGCAGGTTTTCAACGCTGTGATGGCCTGGGTGAAGTACAGTATCCAAGAGCGCAGACCACAGCTGCCTCAGGTTTGTACCCGGGCATGTGTCTCACCATGGCGGTCAGCAGTCAGTTGTCGGCATGGTTGGGGACTGACATGGATTTTTTTGTGCTCTATAGGTCCTACAGCATGTCCGGCTGCCTCTGCTCAGCCCCAAGTTTCTGGTGGGCACCGTAGGGTCTGACCCTCTCATCAAGAGCGACGAGGAGTGCAGGTGAGGGCTGTTTGTACAAAAAACATTTCCATGTTTTGGGCAGGGGAATCGGCTGATCTTGATGATTCAATTAGTATGAAAAGTACAGAGGAAAAACTCCATTTTATACAAGAATGGTACAGTGACTGTATTTACCTAGAGTCATAATGACATGCGTCTTTTTGTTTTGTTTTTTCAGAGACCTGGTTGACGAGGCTAAGAACTACCTGCTGCTGCCGCAGGAGAGGCCACTGATGCAGGGCCCCAGGACCCGGCCGAGGAAACCCATTCGCTGTGGAGAGGTCCTCTTTGCAGGTCAGTACCTACGGGCTCCCATCACTGTGGGATGGAATACATGTTGCCCTTTTAAAATCATTGTTTTCTTCTTGTGTGCTGGGTTTGAAGAATGCAATTCCTACTCTGCTCTTGTCTTTGCCACTTCTCATGTCTCTTTGTAACGCAGTGGGCGGCTGGTGCAGCGGCGACGCCATTTCCAGCGTTGAGCGCTACGACCCCCAGACCAACGAGTGGCGGATGGTGGCGTCGATGAGTAAGCGGCGGTGCGGCGTCGGCGTCAGCGTCCTGGACGACCTGCTGTACGCGGTGGGAGGTCACGACGGCTCGTCGTACCTCAACTCCGTAGAGCGGTGAGTGGCCCATTCTCCCAGCTTGAGGTCTGGAGTTCAAATTATAGATGGTCATCACACATTGTCTTCATTCAATCTTTCGCATCTAGATATGACCCGAAGACCAATCAGTGGAGCAGTGACGTGGCCCCCACCAGTACGTGTCGTACCAGCGTTGGAGTGGCTGTCCTCGGTGGTTATCTGTACGCTGTAGGGGGACAGGATGGGGTTTCCTGTCTCAACATCGTAGAAAGGTATGGGTCAGAAGTCTTGCGTGCATGACAAACCGTCCATGCAATGACCAGACCATAGCGGTTGGTTTAGGTTGTTCAGAATGGAATGTTTTAAGTAAAGCTGATATGTCGTATAAGGTGGAGGGTCTCTGCTGGCTGGCACGAGGTGGCTGCTCTGGCTACAAAAAGATGTGTGATTGAATAGAAGTCCATTAGAGAATAACTGTTCCTCTCACGAGATTTAGTCCCTCAGTGGACATTGTAAACATAAACTTAAATAGCCCTCTGTTCCCTCTGAGCTTCACCGTTCATTTCTCAACGCTTTGTATGCCACGGGATTTGTTTGTATTGTATCGCTGTTTAAAAGTTTTTAAAAAGTATTCCGTTGGTGCGACCTCTGTTCTGACACACCCACTTTGATCTATCCGCACAGTAACGTTCTAATCATGGTATCTGTCTTATGCTTCAGGTATGACCCCAAGGAGAACAAATGGACTCGAGTGGCCTCCATGAGCACCAGGCGGCTGGGTGTAGCTGTCGCTGTGCTCGGGGGCTTCCTGTACGCTGTCGGGGGGTCTGATGGGACATCACCATTAAATACAGGTGAGGTACTGAGTCACGTGGTGAGTACAATCTTAAAGTAACTCAGAGCTTTTTTTTAAATGTATTGTCCCTCTTTATATTTTTCTCTCCTGGTCAGTGGAACGCTACAACCCTCAGGAGAACCGCTGGCACACAGTTTCCCCGATGGGAACCCGAAGGAAGCACCTGGGCTGCGCCGTCTACCAGGACATGATTTACTCAGTCGGAGGAAGAGACGACACCACAGAGCTGAGCAGCGCTGAGCGATACAACCCCAGGACCAACCAGTGGTCTCCCGTGGTGGCCATGACGTCCAGACGGAGCGGGGTGAGTGGGCGGCTTCCACTGGGAAGGGACTTGCGCTGTGGGAATACAGTTTTTGCGCTGTTTTAGTGGCTGCTTTTAATTTGTGAAATGTTTCTCTTAAGTTACAATAGTTGATACTATTAAAGAAAGAAAAAGATACAGTTAAGAAACTTTGTGTGTCTGTAGGTGGGCTTAGCTGTGGTGAATGGTCAGCTTATGGCAGTGGGAGGCTTCGACGGGACGACGTACCTCAAAACGATAGAAGTCTACGACCCCGATGCCAACACATGGAGGTGAGAGGGGGGTGCTGCCACAAAACCATGGAATAATATCTATAAATACAATTTTAGATATGTATTAAAAGCTCAAACGTATATAGGCAACTCAAAGCCTTTTTCTTTTCTTGGCTTTTAGCAGAAAACCGCCAAATTACGTTACTAAACCATAAAGTAATCTGGCATAACATCTTCTTTAAAGAGCTGTCATTGTGCTGTCGTCTCCTGGCACTCCACAAGTCACTTTTGACCCTGAGGTTTCTGAAGTCGGTCGGTGTGGCGTATTGAAATAGCAGATCAACGTAGCAATCTGAAGTAAAGCATAGGAAACAAATGACTTTAAAAAGTGTGAAGCGTTCTGCTAAACGTGTGACGTAGAGGCGGCGGTGGTGCATGGAGTAGAGGGTGCGCCGGGAACCGCAAAGTTGGGTGAGCAAGACACCCAACCTCTATCTGCTCCCCGGGCCCCCCTACGGGTTAGAAATGCAATGTAAGTCGCTTTGGATAAAAGCGTTGGCTGAATGACATGTAAAGTGAAATAGTGACTTAGTGACTGTCACAATATATATATTATATTGTCACGATGCAAATTTCTATAAGCGATGCTACAAGCACTAGTGGTAATTCAAGAGCTATGTTAGCATTGAGCTAACTAACTCAGACATGGTTCTAGGCAAGGCATCAACCAATGACGTTGTGCAGAGCCACAGAGGCTCTGTAGTCCCGACGCATTCATAGACTCTCTTAGGCACAGACCAGTTCTTACCTTTCACAATAAAAGCCCTTGATAAATACATTGTGCAGGCTACACATCAGTTCAGCTCAGACTGCCAGCTCCTGCTCTGGGTCTAGAGGACTGCCACAGCTGCCTGTTAGAATGTTAGATGAAATATTTACTGGTGAGTATTTCACATTTTGATTTTGTTTGTTTGACTGCTGTTAAAATGGAAATAAACGCTACCAAAGTCACAGCACACGTAATAAGAAAACTCTTTACTTTTACTTTGTGTGATTTTATATATATACACACACACACACACACTTCATATAGACGTCCTTTGAAAAGAAAAGTACAGTCGCAATATAGCACGGCCAAAGTCCAAAGAAGGTAACCAACAATGCATAGATTGTCTTGCTTTTGTTATGTCCCCTTCTTTTACCCTGCAATGTTGGAATCTATGAATAACAGAACATGCACTAAAACCTGATTGTCCTTCTCCTTTCCTTCACTCTCTTTGCACCAGGCTGTACGGAGGAATGAACTACCGTCGGCTAGGTGGGGGGGTGGGCGTCATCAAAATGACTCACTGTGAATCTCACATATGGTAACAACACCCCCCCTGCACGCTCTCTCACACTTCTCATCACGTTGCAATGGATGCCTCTTTTCTCCAACTCCCGTGCCTATGAGACGATATAGTTCACGCGTGGATGAGAGACGTGGTGGAAGAGAGGGAGACTTTGAACTTTGAACTCTATCTCATCCCCCTAACCACACCCCGACTACGACTCTCTTCGGGGGCATTGACTGTGGGATAGCCCCATTGTCTTCATCGGTTGGATCAGCATGAACAAATGTACCAAAGCTTCCGGTTTTGTGGAGGACCGGCCTTTTCCTCTGGAACAGCAGCTTGGTCTGGTCTGTTTACATTTTAGAGGTTGTGAACGTTCAAGCATCACGTTGCAGCAAATCCACTACCCGGGGAAGAAATATCATTTTTTGTTTTAAATTAAAATGCCAGCCCCTGAATTGCTGTTCCTGCCCAGCCTTCAATTGGTTAAATTAAAAACAGCCAGCTGATGTTCGGTCCATTGTGTGAGGCTGTGACGTCTCTGGGAAGCATCATTTTATTCCCACGGCAAGATGAGTGGCATTAGAAGAAGCTAATGCTACTCAGCATTCCTTCTCCCTATTCTCTCCCACTGCCGCCGCTTCTTACATGAAGGTGTTAAAAGATGTCAGTTCAGGTGCTGACAGTGCATTTTGAAGGATCATCTCAACCCACCAGTGGAAAGAACTCACACATCCCGGTGAAGTATTTTTTTAGTAAATGTCAAATTTGTTTTGGGGCCAAACATATTTTCTCAAAGTGTAGATTTAGTAAAAAAAACATTGGTTGTTAAAAAATGCAGAAAAATGAAATGAAATACAATGGTAGCAGAAGGACTTAGTCTGGTTTAGTACGATCAAATATTTGTGATCCAACACCAAACACTTTTCCCTCAACACATTATTCACAGCACGGATCTGTTGTATTGGAACATTACTTTTTGGAGAAAATGCTGTGTGGAAATGAATCCTGCGTTAGAATTATAACCTAGGATTTTATCAGACCAAGCCTTTTTAAAGCAAAGAAGATTTCAGAAACAAAATAATTTGCACAGATTGAAGCTATTTTTATTCAAGCCAGCAGTTAGAATGCCGATCACCCCAAGGAGTCATTTATTATTAAAATAATATACAGCATTCTCTCGTTGAACTATGCAGTAGTATATTCATCCCAGTTCTTCATTTAGATGTTCCACATTGGTTTAATTCTTAACTGTATATGCATCAATAAACAGCTCACAAGTTTTGAAGCACAGGTCGTTTTTATTTGTTCGGCTTTATCACATTTCTGTTTTTAACTGATCTCAGCTCAATGTGAAACACAAATGGCGAGGGTCATAAGTCGAATGGACTGGAATTTGTTTGGAGTGAATCTCAAAATTGATTGCACTGTGATCGGAAATGTATTTTAGATTACATCTTTTTTTTTTTTTTTCTTAATTGTATTTTATTTGGGTTTTCATCGGTTAATCATAGGAATGAGAAATGTCAGGCTGAGGTGCACGGATTCATTTCTGCCAGTCAACACGTGACTTTCTTTGTCACAGTCCTGCACGCTATACGGTTGGAACAAATTCATCGCTGTAATAACGCGCAGGCCTGCCTGCCTGCTCCTTGTAAGCTGGCACGAATAGAATATTTTGCTATTTGTCACTACCACAGAAGTAAAAAGAAATAATTTGGGGTAAAGTATCTGACGCCTGTTATTGCTTTGGATCTGTTACTGTCCGATGCCTTTTATTGGCTGGATTCAAATTGTCAAATTAGCTTAGGAAGGCCGCTATGATAAGGGCTGTTTGAATTATCTAAATGCTATGGAAAGGAGCTTCAGTGCTTCCCTAGTTGGCTCCTTTAGCATAGGAACCACTGACTTTCTTTTACAAAAGGAAAGATAATTCCGTCCCTCAATTCCTTGCTGCGGCAACAGTGACTCATCATTTGAGCGTTCACAAGAACTAACAATAATGACGGAGAAACGCAGATCATGTGATTAGTATAATTCATTTATGTCGCAGCCTTGTCAATAAAGTAATACTTTGAACCTTGTTTGTCGTCTGCATGACTCTGCACTGTAACAACACATGAAGGCCGCTAAGAGGCTTCTTTCCAGTCCATCTTTGGAGAAGATGAATTTCCAGAGGTCTAGGAATGGTGGGCAGGAATAGAATAGTATTAATAGAATAGTTGGGGGTAATTTTTTTGACATTTCAAATCCAGCCATTGTTAGATGAGACCCTAGATATATATAAAGGCTAGATGTCTTACGGCAAAATATAGAACATCCGCACATAGCGGCCATCTTAGTACAGTGCGCTCGCCCACCCACAACGTTGTATGGTAGTGGTACATGTACTTTAATAACAACTTGCTCAATTTTCAACCGATTTTTAAACTTTGGTTTGTTATAAACATAAGAGATGTAGTTATGACATGGCATGATTATGATGAATGTTCTGTTTTAATGTAATTTTCGTATGAAAACCCATGGTTATAATTTAGTATGCAGTGTCGTGAATACATCTCTGTACAGGGTGGGACTTTCAACATGCGGCATTTCTTGATGTATATTTGTAAAGGGAAATCTTGTACCTATTTTAGAACATTATTATACATTATACTTATTTATCGACATAACATAATTATTAATAGTATGTATGCAGTGTCATAACTACATCTCTGACATTTATAACAAACCAAACCGTTCAAAAAGTGAGTTATTATTTCAAGTACATGTACCACTACACAACACAATGTGATGGGTGAGTGAGCTCACTGTACCAAAATGGCCGCCATGTGCGGAGGTTCGACTCCCTTGGCCGGCAACGCAGACGAGACATCTAGCCTTTATATATATCTATGGATGAGCTTGCAGGCCTGAAAACCTCTAAAAAGAAATGTAGGGTTATGGCACCACTTACTGGTAATGTCCTTTATGGATTTCTCCCAATTTTCTTTTTTTTGGGGAGTTTTTTCTCCTGTCAGGTAGTGAATGGGCAAAGGGATGTAAGACAGCCCCACGAGCCAAATATTCTGATTTTGGACCATATAGAACAACAAGTTAAACACAATGGTTAAAATTTGATGTTGTTATGCATGCTATGTTATGTTTACATGATGAAGCTTTAAGACACAGATGTGATCATTGAATGTACTGTATTTAGTGTCTGAAAAGAAAAAAAAGAAAGTTTAAAGAAATATGCAACCCTGAAACAAACGTGATAATGGAGAGGCGCAATTTCGACACCAGACACCACAAACCTGGCGAAACAATTGAGGCACACTGAGAAATCAGGCAAACATTTTGGTGCACTGGAAAACAAACTGATAAGAGACAGACTGGTCTGTGGAGTAAGTAGAGACGGTGCCAGGCGCACACTGCTAAGAGAGACTGACCTACACCGTCCAAAGCAATATGCATTTGCCAATTTAGCAAACTCACTGAAAAACATAGCAAAACTCTCTCCACGACAAAAACTGCAAAAACCCCCAGTGTGGATGCAGTACAAATAAAACATTAAAAAGTCTACAGCAAAATGAAGCGCTATGAAAGAAAATTCATCAGTCTCCAGCTGCCGAAATTGGGGGGGGACCCATTTGGCGAAACATGAGTGTCCAGCTTTTTGCAAACAGTGTCACAAATGTGGAAAGCAGAACCACTTCAAGAGCCGATGCAGGTCTGCCAAGTCGAGCAGACCAAACGGGCAGGTAACCAGCTATATGCAGTGACAGTGAAGACACAGACAACATTGAACGTTTGTCCTTGCATGATGATGAAAAGGAAATTGACAGGGAAGGACATCGTTTTGTGACTGTTAATTCAATTCAATTCATTTTGTACAGTCCAAAATCGCAAATTGAAACCCACACATCAGCAAATGAAAAACTCCCCAAAAAATGAAAAACCCTTCCAAGAGGAAAAAAAGAAACCTTAGTTAGAACGTCAGAGGAGCATCTCACTCCCGGCATGGACAGACTACAATGGATGTCATGTGTACAGAATGAACAATATAAACAATGCATAATACATTCAATTCCTATGACAGAAATGATTAAGATAATTGTGAGTAGCAAACCAGGCGCACAGCAGGACCACTGCTGGGACAACCACCATCAGATAGACCCACCATCCACAGAAGCCTGTGGGGAGGGAGAGCACAAAGACTTTAGGAGAGGGTAATGTTGGTTTATGATTACAGTAATATGATTAATATTTAAAATAATAATGATGATGATGATGGCAGCAGGGCCAAGGAAGGTGTCAGCACCAGGATCTACGGAGACCTGCTAGGGGAGAAAGCATTAAAAAAAACTGCTGAATCAATGATGTGCATTAATAAAACGTGAATTATTGTAGAACGAGAGCGTGAGAGAGGAGCTCGGTGTGTCCTAAGTAGTCCCCCGGCAGTCTAAGCCTATAGCAGCTTAACTAGGAGCTGGTCCGGTCTGCCCCCCGGACTGAAAGTGAAAAAATATTTAAGTAAAAAACTACTCAGAGTACAAATTACTTTTTAACCGATGGATGTTTTATTGCATCGTCAATATCAGACATTTGATTCACCTGTATAAAATTCAAATTCGAAGCACATTTCTCAGACAAACAATATTAGAAAAAATTACAGGCAATTTTAATGTGGCCGGCGCGTGCAAACGGCAAAACAAATCCAACAGTAAAACACTGCAAGAGAAAAATACATCAATCACAAAAACGACTGGAGCACACGTGACAAAACACGTGCAAGCGAGAAACGCTGCAAGTTCACTTAAAACACAACGGAAGTTCGCCAGGCCACTAGGGACCTGTGGGATAGTGGATGGGAGTATGGGAGATCGACCATAGTAACTCCAGGTACGTCCACGGGCAGTCGTCCTCCGTCTTTTGTTCATTATTTCCCCTGGTCACTTCTGTCTCCATTTTGGCTTCTTTCTCAAATTCTCAGTCCACTCTTTACACCGCAGTGTATTTTAACTCCAGAAACATTTGCCTTCTGCAGCAGCGAGTTGGCCTTTGCTTATATTGCGTCTTATGGTACGTTCACACAAAAAGCGAAGCGAATTTTCGCCCCGCTTTACTCACGTAAGTTTACTCGCGCGAGTAAAGCGGGTTATTTTTTAGCGGGTTATTTCGCTTCATTCGCGCCTGGAAGGGGGCGTGGCTTATCTCCGTTACGTGTCTCCGTAAAGACAGTTATCGTTTCCACCGTGGCAATAAATAACCACAATTTCTGCTCTTTATTTGTTGTGTGAATTACACAAACGTCGGAACCGCAAACGGTGTTGTGTGCGGGTTTATGACATCATCCGTCGCCGCACACAGCTTGAATTTCACCGACTCCTCCAGGAGGTGCGTCTGGATGACTGCGGCTTCCAGCGCTGCTTCAGGCGGACCAGCAGCCGGTCTGATGACCCGTTGTGTCGGATCGGTGCCGGTGTTCTATCATTTTCTGCTACTTGTCGAGAACTGCTACTTATTGCCCATAATATTTTGCAACCCTGTCGGTGAACGACGTGTTAACGGTGAGTAACATCCCGATTATTTCCTATTTTGGCCAAGTTAAAAAGTGCATTGAGCATGTAGATTGTACAATGACCGTTCTCTTTAAATTAAATATTCAATAATTGCATGGACTGTGTAGCCTTGCCTCCGTCTACTGTGTCGTATTATCCATAGTCCGTTTTCCATTTGCAGAAACACGGTGAGAAACATCCCCTTTCTTCGCGCTTTTGGCTCAATTAAGATAAATAGCATATAGCAGCGGTTCCCAAACTCGAGAATGCCGCGGCCCACATTGAAATCTGAAAATCTTTTGCGGCCCACCCAAACGTTTAATCACAACTCTGATCAAAACATAAACTGGGGATGATTAAATGACCGTAAGAATGTAACCCATTCAAAATGTATTAACTGACAATGTATGTTTTGTATACCATTTTCTCCGGAGCTCATGTGCCGTGTTTTCCGCATAAGATACTGCAGTCTATCTTCACAAATCACTGTCAAAATTCGAGAGCGCAAATCAGGTTGATGTGCGCGCGTAAATCAAACATCCGCCAGCAAAAGTCCGTCTCGCGCGAGGTATTTGCTCGCTTGCGAGACGTGAACTTCGTTGCTCGCGAGGAGAATCTCTGCTCGCGCTTGAAGGAGTTTTCTACGCGCTCGCTGTTGTTTTTTTGACAGTAAGATGGAGACGGTGCTTTAAGGGTCCGATCGATGCCGCGAGGTACGTCCGCTCCCGCCGCCCCCCTCGCCATCCACGCCTTAAATCTTAGGCTGCTTTTAGAATAACTTATTTCCCCGTTAAGATGGTTCAGCTACTGTAGAGAAAATGGCGTCGTCTCTCGCTCTTTAATCTCATGAAGTGCTCGGCAAGAACGACAGCTTTGTTTCTCCGACGCGCCCTGAAACAAGCTCCACATCTCACGCGCTTGAGCGCCGCTCAGCATCTCGCCGTCGTAGACGAGCTTTGGAATGTTTGGCAGAGCGCCTTAAGCGCCGTGTACTACCAGTATGGATCAACCGATTAACCAATTGATCCATATATACAAGGCGCTCCGGATTATAAGGCACTGTCGTTTTTTGAGAAAATTAAAGCCTTTTAAGTGCGCCTTGGAGTGCGGAAAATGCGGTATATTTACTTTAATACTACAAGAGGGCGCCCCATTGTTGAACGACAGGCGGACAAGAGCAGCCGTTTCGAGCAAGAGCCTTATTGTTTTATTAATCTGTCCGTTTAAATTGTTTGTGCTTCATCAACTAATGTTTCACATAACTAATGTGCCGCATCATAAATAATTTAATATTAATTTAAAACTTTTAAAAATAGAAAATTAAAAAACGTTATTTATTTATTGTAAATGACCTCTCGCTGCCCACCTGCAGTACCTGGGCCGCGGCCCACACAGGTACGTCCACGGGCAGTCGTCCTCCGTCTTTTGTTCATTATTTCCCCTGGTCACTTCTGTCTCCATTTTGGCTTCTTTCTCAAATTCTCAGTCCACTCTTTACACCGCAGTGTATTTTAACTCCAGAAACATTTGCCTTCTGCAG